TGGAGTCGAGTTGTTTAAAACAGTCAACCCCTGAAGCACTTTTCCTCACAGTTCCATTTGCAAGTCAGCTGTGCTGCATGGATGGACAAGAAGCCAGCTTTCGCAACTGTGTTATATACGGAAGTAACCAGGTGACAGAGCCGTTTCCACGTTCTCTTTAGCAGACCAGTAAAATATGAGTATTCACGGCCAACGAGATATCCAGCCGGATAACTTGAACTGCGCTGGTGATGGATGCTCACACGTTTTCTAATGTCAAAGCACCGGCCAGTCCGAGTTGTCACTTTCGGTCTACGGTAACGTCTCAGATTTCCATCTTCCTTGAAAGTCTTGATGAAATGATACCATACCTCCTTCAAGGAAGAATACCGATGGCAATGGCGCCTGTCAACTGTGCCTATTTTCATGTCGCGGCTTGACTTCTATTCTGCCTCATTGCATGTGCCGGTTTAAGGCTGCCAGCAGAGTGGTATGCAGTGGCCACGTGACATATTCAGGATCACTAAGCTCCTGCCCGTAATCGACATGAAGATTAGAGCTTTGGGGGATCTGACTGTAGTGCATCGATGACTCAGTCAAATATTTTTCGTTCATCTATGACTAATATGTCCAACGAAGGCAGTGTTCGTGATTTACGGTTTGTACCACTAAAGTTTTAAATGATTTAATCGTTCCACTACGTGGCCGTAAAAATCTGTGACAGAGACGTAGGTTGCTACTGGGCGTTTTCATTACGTCGTGAACAGACCCATGTTAGGACGTAGCCAACTACGGTAGTGAGAAAAACACATTTGTTTTGAGGACGATAGATGGAAGATTAAGTAGACGAGTGGACCACGGGGTGATAGGGAAAAAATAAAATAGAAAATGAGTTGTGCTCTCATTGTCAGTTCAACAGTTCAACTCCCTCAAATTACAGCTTCCCCTCCGTTACTCGGCGAGGTAGCCTAGCAAGAAGAAAAGACAAGAAGAAGTCGAATCAGCATCGACGAGGCATGCTTCTTTGCAAGTGCCACAACAGTGGCTACAATAAAGAATATGGCTGAAAGCTTAACGTGCTGGAGACACCGACACCCTGCAATTTGAACATGCAATCGGTTTGATTTGATCGCCGTAAAGAACAATCAACAAGTCAGAAGTTTACAAGATTGCTATAAAGATTACTGAAATTGAAAATTATACCAAAAACGAATATAACGATTTAGAATTCTATCTTGCGTCCTCTTATGAAATCAACAAATTGGGCAGAGGACTAAAAGAGACGAAGAATTCGCAGTATTTCTGCCGTCACTAAACAATACGTTGCACAGCGCGTCATCGTGTCCTCTCTAGGCTGAACAACAGGAATAATTTGAATCCTTTCCCATAATGCTACAGTTAGTATGACTGCTTCGCAGGCATGTCTATGCTAAAGGATGAGAAGATCCGTCGTCACTTGGTAAGTGTTGTGCGCCAACTGACCGATTAAGCTTTATTTTCGATTTTACACTTGTTTAGCCATTTGTTGACGTTGTTTCCTAATGAATGTCTTGAAATGTCCTAAATAAAATGTTAGTTGTTATGTAAAGTGTTTTTAAAAAATGGGTATGCCAACATTGAGAACGAATCATTTCTCGAAAACTAGCTCAGGTTTAAAATGAAATTATATATGCATTAGAACTCATGCTCTGATTTTGCTCATTACAACTGTAGTACGTTAGTTAACACGTAAAAAGAATTGGTGCGATAATCTGACGCAGTTGCTACAACTACTGACATTAAACCTCATCGATCAGCTAATAGCAGTATCCGGCTGATAACATATCTTTTCACGCCTCAGGATAACCATGCCTGTGAAGCAAGGACGCTAACTGTACTTTAGCACATGGTATGATCCAAATGATTTTCTTTTTATGGACGCAGCAACACACATGATGTGAATTCTTCACTACGAAGCTATGACCAGTGTTTTTCTTCTTAGGCGTGTTCACCTTACGTGATGAACAAATCAATCATCGGTTGGATAATTATTACTCATTAGCTGACCATTTAAGCTCGATGACCAGTCGTTATAGCCGTTACTGTAGGTTTGATGTCATGAAATAGGCTCCAGCAATTTGCTATTACATGCTAACTAGGGACTACATTTACAATAGGCAAGATCAGAACAACTTTCCAAGAAATTAATCATTCTCAATGTCGACACGCTTGCTTAATCACGATGATTCAAACGTGTCAATTATTTCCGGTTTCACCTTTAAAATAAAAGCGCTTTGCGTAAAAAAATGGCATTTTATTTTACGACATTCATCAGGAAACAGCGTCGAAAGAAAGCTGAACAAGTTATGACCCGAACTACGTACGAATCACCGATTTGTCCTGATGAACCGAAACGAAACACGACGCAAAGAGAAAGTAGGCGAAATGAGACATCATTGAGACTCGTAACTGCTTTCAAATTGTAGATATGTTAGGCCTACGTCAGTCGTTTGATCACCTTCCCTTGTTTCCTTTTGAAACGGGCGATGGGGAACAATCGTTCTGCCATGCCGTTCTACAGATGACGATTTCCAACTGCACATCGATGCCCAATTAAAACATGTGCAACGCGGCTGTGGGAAAACAGGGTCGCAAGTGAGCATCAAAAAGACTATGGTTATGCAATCATCCATCGTGACTCATAAGCTGCATGATATAACTCAATGATATGGTGATGGAGAGGATAAACCATTGCAATTACGTCACATTCATATCGTCTAAAGTCAATGCCAGCTTGACCCTGAGGTGAACCAGTACATTGGACTGGCAAGAAGTCATTTCAGAGAGCTATAAGAGCTATCTTGAAAAGAGGCCATACTCTTGCTGCACATCTGCAATCTGGAAACGTCTGCTGTAGAAAGAAACGTAAAGAACGCTCTCTTGAAAGCTTTCAATAACATTGTATCCACAAGGTGTGCAATTATTTCGAGGTGGTCACCAACAAGCAAGCGGTAATAACCAGCGGTCCGAAAATGTCATTGGCAGGACTCTCAGACAGGTACAGTCCTGGGTTCATGAAACGGCACTGAGATGAAATGGAAATTAATTTATCATCTGTTCCTGATTCAGTTTACTACTCACTGACCCACTTTAGGATGGTACAGCACTTGAAAACACTT